ATGACAAGCAGGTAGCGTTCAGTCCATTATAACATACAAAGAGTGCATGTCTGCCTATTATAGAATCAGAAGTTATTACAAGCACTCAATGATGGTTTAAAGTGGGGTTTGAACAAAAACATTAATTACATACATTTTGAAATGTAGCTTGATGCTAATTGTACCTCTAATTATATTTTGTAAGCATTATGGATAGTTTGTGTTTCTGATGAAGAACCAAAAGTTATTGATCTTAATTTAATGCTGTATATTAAGCAGTGGACGATGTAAAAGCCATATATGAGATACATAGGCTACATGAGGAAAAATGCATTGCTGGTCAGCGCCACCTAGCGTGCAGGCGTGAATTAGCAGAAGGCGATTAATCGTTTCGCGCTCGGTGTGAAAGCAACGTTCGTCGCGTTTCACTTTGCTTTTTCGCATCGCGCTCAGTGAAACAGCCTTTTACACTGATTAAAAAGCAGATCACATTTCTGTCTGATTTCACATGACAAATAATGACTCAAGATCACTCATTTAACAGTTCATCTTTTGCCAAAATTATGAAAAAAAAAGATCAGTCAAGAATAGAAAATTATTGAAAATATTCAAATCAGAATTGTCAGAATCAGAGTGCAAAGTTTGTGCATTAAAGACAATGTCCGTCAAAATGTCATGTACAGAAACCTGGCGTTTTAATTGATTTGGCATTTATTCTCTTTAGCATGCAGTGTGAAGTATTTCACTCAGTTCCCCGATCATTCAGATTCAATTTCAGCGAACAAAGAACAAATTTATACTAGCTTGTATTAGGTAAGTTATCATCTCTGACAGACAGCACGTTGAAGCTGCTCAGGCCGGCATTTTCTGCTTCTTCTTAGAAAGAGATGACATAATCAAAACATCAAGTAGTGTGGGTTATTCAGGAATTGTATGTACTCCCTGGTCCTCTGCTGGCTTCTCGTAAATACTGCTGTGTATTGTGCATGTTATTCTTTGACAGACATCAATGTTGTGATATTTAAATTTAGTTTTGAGAATGTGGATTTGAAAACAGATGAATAGTAAGGCAATAATTATTTATTTCTTAGCCGGCAAGCAGTCAGTGAAGTGATTGATGCCCATTTTAGTTTTAATATTTCAACCGACAGCCATCCTAAGTTTTTGACGGATGTGATATCATGCATAACCGGGGAACTATGTTTGAGTTGGGTAATTATAAAACGTGCTAGAGACGTTCTAAATGCTTTTTGCGTAGTTCATTATACTTATTTTATGCAATGAAGTTTATTTTGTGGCTGTTACTCATAGACTGACACATTTGTTTTGTCAAATTGTTACATTCAGCTGTTGCTGAATTCTGTTTCGTGTTGTTTTTTTGCCAGGAAATGAGTGGTTTTGATGCACAAAGTTGTTGTCTTTTATAGCAAAAATCTTTTATTTAAAACACCTTAAAATGCAGGTCCTGTAGTAAATAATAGTGAAAAATCATTTTTGAAAAAAGTTGTTCTATTATGACTAATAACAATCGTCTTCTGCCATTATTCTTTAATTGACATGCTGTCGGGGGTAAATAAAAATAGGCGTAGAACTTTAAGTGCAAAATTACGTTACAGTTTGAATTTGGGCTTTAAAGCTGATATTTAATTTGAAATCAATTCTGAAATCTGCATCCGACCCCTTCAGGTTTTCAAACCGAGTTTTTTAACACTCCTTTGGGTGCATGTGGAGTTTATAAATATAAAGTACAAGTGGGAAGTTTGAGTATTTTTAGAGCTGTGGAGGGGACGCTTCAGGTCTGTCTCATTAACGTGAAGGGTGTTTAACAAACCTCTTAGGGTTCTAATGTGACTTGATCCCAAAATGCAGAGAGATAATTGTCAGGTAGAGACAGTGGAAGTCGTAGCAGCTCTGGCCTGGAGCCACAGGGTACCTCTTCCCCGCTTTCCCGACCACTAATGAACTGACAGTCCACCCAAATACCTGCCAGAGCTGCTCCTGAAGATCTCCTAATGCACCTGCTATTAAAAGGAACATTACAGGATGCTTTCCACCATTACTGCTCATGCACTTCATCAGAATGTAAATAAAGGGAATCGTCTCCTTGTGGGTTCATTGATGCAGGTTGACAGTAATATGAGTTCCTGTGAGGTTGCAGCAGCTCCTCCAGGGTTTTGAAGGCAGCCAGTTGGCAGGACTTTAGTGTGATGTTCAATATTATCAGCCTGACCAATGCAGTGTGGGTATGAAATGGGTTTGAGTTTCCCACAAGCCACCACATGTCCTGGTATGACTCAAAACACACCCTACTACACAAGTACATTCATTAGTGTTATTTGAATGAGCTTTTATTTTTATATTTTTTAGTTTTCATTTTAATTATACTTTAGGTTTTAGTAATTTTGTTATGTGCTTTTGTTATTTTGATTCTTTTTTTATATTTCTATTTAGCTATATATATACAGTGGGTACGGAAAGTATTCAGACCCCCTTATTGCATTAAAATTTTCCCTCCATCTTCATCTTTCTCAGCAGTGTTGGGGAAAGATACTTTGTAACTCAGAATTTCAAATAGTTAGATGACTGTGAAGGTTTCTTTTTTTTTACAATGACAGTTTCATTTTCAGACCTTCATTTAAATTTGCATTTAAATTTTCCCTCTATCTTCATCTCTCTCAGCAGTGTTGGGGAAAGATACTTTGTAACTCAGAATTCAAATAGTTAGATGACTGTGAAGGTTTATTTTTTTATTTGTTAATTTATTTAAAGCAGTATTCATCTGTTACAAAGAACACTTACGTTGACTGTATTGAACTTGAATACTAATGTACTACTAACAAAAAAATGGATATGCTGGGCAATTTTAAATTTCTTTTCCTCTTTTTGACTTCATGATAAAGAGCTTTTAAGCACTAATTCAGCATAATGAGGATGTGCATTAGAGGTGTAATTGATTATATATTTGTGTATTTTATCATTTTGTGCCATCGCACAGAATAATGGGAAATGTTATTTTAGTTGCACAAAGTCTCCTTGTAAACCTTGCAAACTTTATCATTATTGTTAATCAGCAAACTGAATTTGGACCATTAAAATTCACAATTATGTCTTAATTATGACTAATAATTATTAGCTTCCACCGTAATTCATAAATTGGCATGCTGTTGGGACTTAAAGTGAAATAAGAGTAGAACTTCTTTATGTGCAAAATGACTTTTTTGATGACATTTCATTTTAAATCTAGTCTGAAATCTGAATCCGACGCCTTTAGATTTTCAAACCAGAGGTTTTTAATGCAGAACATGGTGTATATATTATATAGCAGGTTTGAAAACATAGTGATAAACCGTAGTGTCTAGGTAATTATCTGTCACTGATTTTTTTTTGCGCAGTTCAACTCCCCAGCACTGCTCATTGGTTGATCATTGAGTTGGTGTCTGTCATTCATCATTTCTGTCTGTGGGTGTCTGTTGTGCCTCAGGTACAATGTCGGACCTTGTTCAGAATCTCTTCCCAACCTCTCAGTTTCAAGGTATAAGAGCCTCCACCCGCTTCACTGTTGTGCTGTGTGTCCTGTGTGAATGTGGTACTGCATGGTCACATGATCACAGCTTAAAGGGACAGTTCACCCAAAAAGGAAAGTTCTGTCATTATTTACTCACCCTAACTCACCTTCGTTCTTCTGTGGAACACAAACAGTGCAGTTTAACATGATCTCTGATGTGCGCTTTCTGAATAATGAAATTGAAAGGGCTCCAAAAAATGATAAAAAGCATCACAGGAAGGAAGTTGACCTGTGCACTCTATCCCAAGTCTTTTGAAGTCATTTGATAGCTTTGTGCGAGGAACTGATGGAAATGTAATATTTGCAGATCGAAAATGTTAAACTGTATTGTTTTTTTTCCCATTACAGATTGTTTTGCATCAATATGCAGATGAATGCAATTGAGATATGAGAGAAAATGACTTTACTTTTAAATGTATGTTTTTTTAATTGGTGGTGAACTGTTCCTTTATGCTAGCTGCCCAAATACCAACTTAATGTTGAAAGCTTCTGACACTCATTTTTGCAGTCAGTCAGTGTGATACTTACTGAGAAAAGGAGCATTGTGCAAATGATCACCAAAGACCACAATTAACACCTTGCGGTATAATTTGCAGTATGTGCCTTTAAGTTTATGAAGTACCAATCCACATTGAAGTTGCAGACACTAGGGCCTGTAAGTTCCTCTGTGTGAATTGGAGCTCATTGGTCACTGTTCGTGGTTTTGTTAATGCATTAACTAACATCAACTAATGAGACCTTATTTTACTGTAGTGTTACCGATTCTTTTTTTTTTAACGCCATTTATTAATCTTGTTACTTATTATTCATGTGTTCGTTGTTCCCGCAAGTTTTTGAATACTGATGTGAATGTATTTAGGGGTTGAAATCTGTGGGGGGGGGATGTTAGTGAGCTACTAGCTTCAGTGATTTCATTTCTTTGGAAGATTTTGTTGTAGAGATGAGCTTTTCCTGAAGCAGATCCTGCTCACACCTGCATGAGATGTGCTGCATGTGTGTCACACGCGTGTGTCTTCTGCTTTCATTGTGTGTTTTACGTTATTAAACACATCTAATAATACAGAATTGTCCTAAGTGACTGTGGTCTTCCTGCCTTTCAAATTATACAATTTCCGGCGTGTGCTTATATTGATTAATATTTATTATGCGTTGCATTATTTGGTCATTGAAATCATGTGTTTTGTTAAAGCGTGTCTCATTTATTCATGTTTATTTAGAGATAATCAATAAAGAGTTCATCTGAAATATTTACTGTATGAAAAATGTATCTTTGCATAGTAATAGTGTAACACCATGCAACATGTACATTATTTTATGCAAATGGTAACACTTCAATAAAGTTCCAAGTTGTTTAATCAACATTAGTTAACTACATTGGTTAACATTAACTAACAATGAAACTATTTCTAAAGCTTTTAATAATCTCAACATTTACTAATACATTATTAAAATCAAAATTTGTATCTGTTGATATCATTTGTGACCCAAGCTAACATGAACTAACAAAGAATAGTTGTATTTTCATTAACTAATGTTAACAAAGATTAATAAATACTGTTCCAATGTATTGCTCATTGTTTAAGTTTTGTTAATGCATTAACTAACATCAACTAATGAGACCTTATTTTACTGTAGTGTTACCGATTCTTTTTTTTTTTAACGCCATTTATTAATCTTGTTACTTATTATTCATGCAAGTACATAATCTAATTGCTAATGTTGAGGTATATGACTATTAACATCAAAACAAATCGGTAGCTTGTAGAAATTAACTATTTATTAATACATTTCAGTTATTTGCTGTATTTAGTCATTCGGAGCCTTTTACTTTCATCATAAATTTAAGGCGACTCACACACACACACACACACACAAAACAGTGTTTTACCGTAAATTTGCATGCATTGTCTTAAGTGTATTCTCATTTTTGATCATTTCTCATTTCAACTTAGTCAGTTTTGTATGGTGTATATGGGATCAGATTGTCTGTGTGTTCAGGCACTTCAGAGTGTAAAATCATCTCATTCACACTCTCTGCCGCTGACCCCCGTCATTATAAATCAGAAAGTGACTTCCATGATCACTCTGTCTGTCTGGCTGAAGCCCCAGAGTCCAGCAAAGACTGAAGGGCCCTTCTCTCTGTCCTCATGCAGTCTCTCTGGAGCGCAGGGGCCACGCGGGTCACGCCACGCCACATCACACCTCATCAAGTGCTCTTAAAAGATCACAGCAAATGGAGTTCTTAGATGAGAGGCCAAAGACATGATGCCGAGAAGCCGCTCATTGATTGGCACCGTTCTGAAAGCAACACACACTTGTGTTGCATTATGAATCGCAGTCGGACGCATTTCAGAAATGCCATGATGCACGAAATTGAGCTTGCTTCGATGGAAGCGTTACACTCATGTACTTAATGTAGCGTATGCTTCAGACCGAATGCACACTTTCATATATGCATCCAGGCTGCAATAATGCAAAATGCATGCACACTTTAGCAGGTGAGAGCACAGGTGCACATTTATTTCAGGTGATTGTGTGCGGTGCATTAGTATCTGAAATCTGGCATACACACAAACACACACACTTACACATCGATCACGCCTCAAACCGCTAACAGCATATGCTAATACAAGCAGCTGGATAAATCCCCGCTCGCGCTCCACTGTTTGCTGCTAATGCCTTTTAATGCGACCGCCGTTCTGTTTGCGAGGCTTTTTTATAGCCGCAACCACTGGAGCGAAGGCGCCATCGATCTCTGAGAATCTAATGATGGAAATCTCTCTCTTTCTGCGCTTATCAGAGCCGTGGCTTCCCAAGGCCTCCTGGCTTCATGCTGTAAACAGCATAACCGAGTCAATACAACAGCATAAAAACCCATTTAAAGGATTTATGAGAGTGCGTACTCAAGTAGAGGCATTGTTTTCTGAAATATTGTTGTGCTTATATAATTTAAGGCTACATATGGGTGTTTCTTCAAGTATGGAAATGTTCAGCCTTGTGAACTTTCAGAAAATAAACTCTCTTAAAACACACTTTATACACTTTTTGTTTACTTTGACAGTGAGATAAAAATGTAATTTTAATATTAGCTTTAGGTTTAATTTTATATGCTTTTGTCCTTTTTTAAATATTTCTATTTAGCTTTTTTTATTTCAGTTTTATTTGTAGTAATTTTAATGATTCAATTTAAATGTATTTATTTTAGTTAATTGCAAAGGCAACTTTTTTTTTTGTTTGTTTGTTAAGTTTTCATCTTATATTTCTTTTTTTTTCTTTTTTTCCTTATTTGTAATATATATATATATATATATATTACAAATAATTTTTTGTGACAATTTTTTATATATATATACAATTTTAGTTAATAACAACGGTGCTTTGTTACATTGCCAGTGGCTTCTGTCGAAATCTCCAGCTCTCAATGAAAATAAGTGTTTGTTGCTGCAAATCTCCGTTAGTGTCAACTGCCTTAACTTGTTTATTTTATTTGCATATTAACAATGTCCAAGTGTGTATGCAGATAAATTACAAGGGAATTGTGTAATTTTTGTGTTTTCTTTGTTTTTGCAATTCTTGATCATTTCTACAACCATGTAATTTTCACCACATCTCAAATGTTGTATTGTGCTATATAGTATTCTCTGGTGGAAATGACAGTTGTGGAAATGATTGAACCATTTCTGGAATCAAATCAGTCAGTATTTGGATAGCTAGCATTTTATGTATCCTAAATAAACACAATTAAGTGATATTTTTACACTTTTTGCATAAACTACAGCTTGATTGGAAATGACACCCAACAAAAATATGCTCTTCACAAATATTTAATTTGACTTTTTTTTAATTTTTTTTATTCTTCTCACGTATCTCATATTTTTGTGAACAACAACAACTTTGGGGGGGAAAAAACATTATTGGGGAAAAGTTTCTTTTGTGAAAGACAGCATAGACATCATAGTAACAATGAAATACATTTTCAAACAATATATATTGAAATGGTTTGTTTCACTTTTTGTTAACATCATAGCTTCAAAATGTTTTTTTTTTTTTCAAACAATGGATTTTCATATTTTAAAGATTGAAAGGTTGATTCTGTGTCAAAGGTAATTTGTTCTGTACATAAAATGCATTTAAAAAGACACAAAATAATGTATAAAGATGTTTAAAACATAAAAGACATATTTAATTTGACCTTTATATGAAAGAAAAAAATCTGTTGCTTTAAATGAAATAAAATGTAATATCTTTGATTTTCATATTTTAAGTTTGAAAGACTGTGTCGAGGGTAATCAGATTTGTATATAAAAGGTATTTGAAAAAGAAGCACAATAAATGAAAACAAGTTTCAAAACAGATTTAATAACAACAAAACAAATTGTTTACTTTTAATAAAATCAACCCCTTGAGCATAAAAGTGGCTTTGTTTGAAGAGACATATGAGCATGCATCTTGTCTTTCAGCTCTAGCCGAACTTATTGCTTTCATGCTTTTTTGCATAATTCATGCTGTTCTGTCAAGCTCGTTTAGTTCTGGCCTCCATCACTTTCTCCTCTAACTCTGTTAACGCGCTGCTCTCCCCAGGGATCGCCTGCATCGTGCTGTCATTCGTGGACGCTAAAGGCTGCGCGCTGCAGGTTCCCGCTCAGGACGGCAGTGGCCCGGCTCTCAGAGGCGACATCTCCAGCATCTCCCTCCAGCCGGACCAGTTCGAGGCCTTGACGACTGTCGTCAAAGTGGACTCTGGCAGCCAGAGCTCAGGTTGGGATGCTTTAGCAAACATACAGTGCTTACAGTAGCGGTGTGTGAGGTGTGTGTGAGCTCTGGGACGCCTGTGCACAGGTGCAACCGTGCGAGTGCGCTTCGACGTGTGGGAGCAGGGTAACATCAGCCCGCTGCAGCTGACCGACCGGCTCAGGGCGGCTCTACGCCACGCCCTCTGCGACGTCGTCATGGAGATGCGTGTGCTGCCAAACCCGTTGTGTCTGGACACCTTCTGCCTGCCTGCTGCCACCCAGCGGGACGAGAGCACAGGTGAGCAGCTCATGCACACGTGATGTAATATAGTGGATTACAGTAAAACTAGAACAGAATCTAAAATTAAAACCATTAAAAAAACTTTACTTCGTTTCTGGAAATAAAATAAACTTTAACTGAAATAAAATAAGATCTAAAAAAACTTTTTCAGCTAACTTGATGTACTAAAATAACTAAAACTGGAATCAAAATCAAGTTTTTATTCATTTTATTTTTATTTCAGTTTTTGTGTGTGTGTGTATATGTATATATGTGTGTATATATATATATATATATACATATATGAACTACTAAAATGACAAAAACATACTATTATTAAAACTTGAACTAAAATGAAAATGGAAAATATAAACAAAAAAGATTCAAAATATTAATAGAAACTATATTAGAATCTAAATAATACTAAAGTAATGCTGGAACAAGACAAAATACACTAATATTAAATAATCATACCTGTCTCAAATTATGTTTCTCATGATAAAAATGTTATCGCATCTTTAAGTAATATTTTTAAGGCGTCTACTTCAATATATAAAATAAGTTTTGTAGACATTCTATGTTTTATTATTATTATTATTATTATTAATATTTTTAAAAATCCCTTAATTTTTATTTTAAAATATTGATATTTTCTTTTTTAATTGTAATTAAAGGGTCAGTAAGATTTTTTTTTTTATATAAATTTATACTTTTATTCAGCAAGGATGCATTAAATTGATCAAAAGTTACAGAAAAAAAACATTTAGAATGTTACAAAAATTTTAGAATGTTATTTATCTTTCAAATGAATGATGTTCTTTTTAACTTTATATTTATCAAAGAATCCTTAAAACTAATGTATCGTTTTCCAAAAAAAACATTAAGCAGCACAACTGTTTTCAACATTGATAATAATCAGAAATGTTTCTTGAGCAGCAAATCAGCATATTAGAATGATATCTGAAGATCATGTGACACTGAAGACTGGAGTAATGATGCTGCAAATTCAGCTTTGATCACAGAAATAAATTACAGTTTACTATATATTCACATAGAAAACAGCTATTTTAAATAGTAATAATATTTCACAATATTTTACTGTATTTTTGATCAAATAAATGCAGCCTTGGTGAGCAAAAACATAAAAAAATCTAACATATTCTATACTTCTGAACGGTCGTGTATATTGTTGTCTTTCGTTGATCTTGTGTGTTGTGTGTCTGTAGTTGCCTTGAGTCTCCTGCAGTCTGACAGTAAGGAGGTGAAGGAGAGCGTTCGGCGGCCCAGTGGAGCTCATGGGCTCAAGAGCAGCCCGTCTCCCATCAGCCTGAGTTCTGTGCCCAGCTCCACCCCGACCACTGGAACCAGCACGCCCGAGTCCACCACACCCACCGGCAAAACCACGCGCCGCTTCTTCTGGGAAATACTGGTGCGTGCGCTCACTCAGCATGTGCAGTCTCCATTAACAGCAGATTACTCTCATTAATTATGACTGTCAACGCCTCCAAAACTGCTTTGATGGTCAGCATGATGCGGTTGATCTGGACTCAGTGAAGCGTAAACGCCGGAGAAATGATTGGGCTTTCTATTCACTGGTCTGCTGACAGTTATCGGTGTGTGTGTGTGTGTGTGTGTTTGGTAGAGTAAACCAGAAACTTCTGAGCTTGGCAGTCCGAAGACGACGGATGACATCGTACCGGAGCGTGTCGAGGACAGTCGCGTGAACCGACGGAGACACAAGACGGAGAGCGTCAAACAGCAGTGGAACCACGAGAAAGCCATGGCAGTCGAGCAAGAGCAGGCCCAGAGGTACACACACTCACACACACACACACACACACACACACACACACACACAGAGCTGTGTTTCTCACACTTCTGTCTGTAAAATGATATTTGCACAAGCTTTCCATGATAAAATTAACATGTTCAGATGGTAAGACAAAAAAACAGACGACATATGACAACTAGAACTATTACAAATATTTTCATTAACTGAAATGAAGCTGAAATAAAATAAAGAATAAATATATTAGATGAAAACCTAAAACTTAAAACAAAAATGAGAAATGTTGCCTTGGCAACTAACTTAAAATAAATTAAAATAAGTTTCAGTTTTACTAAAACTGAAAAATCAATTAAAGCCAAGTAGAATTATAAAAAAAAAAATTTTTTAAATGCCAAAGCACATAAAATTACTGAAAGTTGAATTAAACTTAAAATTGAAACTGAAAATCTAAAAATAAAAGCTAAATAAAATAATCGTATATAAATAATACTAAAATGACTCCGTTTATCTCTGGTTGCACGTAACAAAAAAACAGAGAGTAATAGTGTATACCCATTAATAAAAACTCAAATACATTTATTTATTTATTTATTTATTATAAAATGCTCAAGACCAAGAGAATGTAGTCTTAAACATACACATTCAACAGTTTTATTTTGTCTGTCTTCTGTGCTTTCATACTGAAACACACTTCCATTGTGCCAAATACCCAACTTCTCATCATTGTGCAAATCAGATGGTATCAGAATAATCAGATTTCCAGATGATTTCGGGACCGCTCTTTCTGGCAGTCTAGGAGATGTCGCTTTGGATGTAATTACCACCCAGCCTTTGTGTTTGTCAGGATACAGTAGATAATTCGGTTGTGGCATTTCTGATTCGGATGGCAATAACGTTACAGACGTAAATGCTGAAATGACCTCAACCTCCCAGTTAGCATCCGGACAGGCCTGTAGTCTTGTTTTCACTCGTGAGGACTGTGTCTGGATGTGTGTGTTGTAGGAGACATGCAGTCCAGCTGGAGGAGGGTGATACAGGCACTCTTCAGCCCGTCTTCCAGACCACGTACCTGCCCTGGGTCACCTTCATGAACAGACTGGGTGAGTCGCCACAAACACATGCTTCCGTCTGAGTTATGGCTCTGGTGGAATTTACTATGAAGTAGTAAAGGTTATTTGGTGAATCTTTAAGTTAAACTTTGTCAAATCTGCACTAAAGCATGTGTAACGTCCTGGAATAAAGGTCTGATCAGCCCTCAGGTGGATTTTGGTGTAATGTATGATGATGTGAATATTGTGCAAGAAGATGATGACATTTCTTTTTCTTTTTTTAAGAAATTGTTGGATGGTTTTATAATAATTTACATATATAACTTATAATATATATACAAATTGTACACATAAATGACAAGGTATGAAGTTTTTTTATAAATGGGTGTTTATATAATTATACACTTTGACTTTTATATACATTATATAAATATATAAATATTATTATACTTTAAAAAATATATTAATTGTAATTACATCAAAATTTAGTTGAATTTTAATGTCTTTTTAACAACCAGTTAAAAACTCTTTTGGAAAAACTAGCAGCTGTATTGAGAACAGTGATTTTTCTCTACAAAAAAATTGGTCATGAATGTGTAAATACCAATTCATTTGGTATTTATGTTACAATTTGTAATTTATTTTCTTATGAAAAAGTACAAAGTAGAAATTCCTTGATTTTAACATTTTCTCTAAATGCACTATAGAGGGGACGTTCAACAACCTTTTAACACTTTTAAAACTTAGGAAGAACTAATTAAAGAGACACAATCATAAGGTTTAAAGTGATTATAATAAGTGTTTATAATAAGATTGGATGTGTTTATCACCATCCTAACAGACCGGAAAGTCCCCTAATGAAATATTCAGTGAATTATTTTCTCTTGCAGGTTGTCCGTCCATCCAGCACTGTTCAGCTGAAGTCTCGCATCATTTCCTCCTGCCCTCCATCCTCACAGAGATCGTCAATCTGGTGGGCTCGCTGGCCAGTGACACGGCGGCCAAAGTGTTCGAAAGAAGCAGGTGTGTTTCCGGTATCATCAGAGCGGTCCAGACACGTCTGTCGCTGCAGCTTGTGTGTGAACAGACGTGATCAGTTGCTTCT